TTTGTATGAACTGCAATTAAATTTGGTTAATTTTATTTGAACCATAATTTAACCAAGAAATTTTAGAAAATAGACTAAAATCTCTTTTTCTTTATACATCTATCTTCCAAACACAACAACATTCAGGTATAGCTGCTAGCATATACCTCAATACCATTATTGAGCTAAAGTGGTACATATGGTTACTATTAAACCTTGAAAACTAACCTTTCAAGAAAAAAAAGCCAAGACCCAACCTAGCTATACAGTAAAACAATTCTAAAAAGCACATAAACAGCTGAAATTGAGTCACTTTTGATTATTGAGGCAAGATGCTCAGAGCTACATTAGCCGCTACTAGCATAGTAGCTGCTTTGTTGGTAGTGTGGGTGCCAGGAAAATGCATGCAGTTATTAAAATATGTGTAAACTTACATGGAAATACATCAGTATGTAAGACAAACACAGAGTTTGTGCAGTTTGAACACTCAAAGTCAGTATTTGGTGACTTAATTCTTCAATACAGTCTGAAATTTTTTAGGCTGCTTCGAAGCTCTCCAGCTCTTCTCTTTTTTGGATATTGACTGCCTTTTGCTCTGTTTTCTGTCGAGATGAACCCATAGTGCTCAATAATGTTGAGACCCGGGCTCTGGGGAGGCCAGTCCATGACTGACGGTGTTTCACTGTTTTTCCATCTAAGTATGTTTTAATTGCATCGGCAGAGTATCTGTGATCATTGCTAAAAAATGAAGCTGTTAACAGTCTGATGATTGCCAGATGGCATTGCATAGTGGATCAAATATGACTGTAATTTTATGTGTTTATTTTAACGTTCTCCAATGCTATTGGCTGAAATGCAGCTCTAAACCTCTGTGCCTCCACCACGTTTTCAAGATGGCTGTTGACACTCACTGGTGCGCCTCTTTTTTGGCATCCTCTGACAGTGAACCAAGAATTTTAAATCTGGATTCATTACTCCACAAGACCTGTTGGCACTGATTTTTAGTGCAGTTCTTGTGTAATTCGGCACAGCTCAGCCTTTTCTCCCTGCTTATTTTCCTTCTGTGAACAGTAGATGGATCAGCTGAAGGGCCAAATGAATCTTTCATGTCATATGTCAGATCTATATTGCAATTTTTCCTATTTCTTATGGACAAGACTTCTAGGTAGTGTTAATCTGCTGTAGTTTTACCTGCATTTTTTGTCCTCTACTTGTCCAGTTTCCTCAAATTTGTTCAGGGCATACTGCACACCATGGGAAGAGCTACTAGCTCTTTAGGAACCACCTTGTTGGTGCAAAAAAAATACTACCTTATTCCTGTCAAACTGTTATCGTTTGAACTGTTCACACATTCAGCTGAAAAAATGGGAACAAATGATGTGGTTTTGTGACAGGCTGGTAGTTACAGTCTCTATCCTAGTTTTAAATCCAATTTAAAACTGGTTCTTTTTTTGAGTCGTTATATGTAGGCAACTCTGCTTCATCCCTTGAATTAGATGCCATTCTTTTACTTGAATAAGTGTTTCACAAGTCAGCATTACGTGGCTTAACAAAAAGATATATTCATCTAAAACAGCCAGGTACAAGCACTGGGCTGAGATGAGTGAAACAAAATATCCAGAGAAAGACTTTGAAAGACCTTTAGAAAGCCTGGAGAACTAGTGCTCAAGACCATTTAAAAAAAAAAAAAGATACAAGGTCTGGCTCCTTTGAAATCAAATGCAGAGAAATGAGGGGTGGCTCTAGACTTGTGCACAGTACAGTAAAATGAAAACAGGGTCAAGAGCGATCTCTGCTCCATTTTAAAAGTTCCTGGTTGTGTGCATGTGGAAGCAATTTTGGAGCCAATAATCCCTCCACCCTCCTGAGCCCCCCTTCCTTGTATTCCCCACCTACTTTGCCCACTTGTAAACCTGTGGTCATGCTGGCAGTGCCTAAGCTACAGTTGGCGTATAAAAGAGCAGCTTAAGCCTGCTAGTAAACAATTTTGTTTATGGCAGACGTTCTGTAAACACAGCTCCATGTTCTCAACATGCTGACTGTCAACATATCACAGCTGGCAATTAACTGTCACCATCTAACTAACCACTAATAATGAAGCACAGACCCCCTTTTTTCCCCCCGAAGAAATTACCAAAGGCAGTGTTAAAGGTTCAGTACACAGCAGGACGCCTGGTACCAGCTTACAAACGCAAAGAAAGAAGTGAGAGAAATTTCATTTTTTTAAGATTTTATTAAAATACGGTGTGGAGTTTACCATTGGAAGTTACCATCACAAACATGATTGTTTCTAATAAAAAAGTAAACAAAACAAAAAAATAAAGCTTAAGAGTCTAGTTACAGGAGAATTTTTTTTAATTTGTTTTGTTTTGTTTTTGCAGTCTGGTGAAAGAAAAAACAAAAAAACAAAACAAAAATCAATTCACAATGAGAGTGTGTGGAAAAAAAAAAAATGTTCACATGTTGTAAAAATACATTTCCCAATTTTAACATTACACACAGTCACTTCCAAGCATTCATTCATTCATTCCTTGTTAGATGGTTAGATGTCAGTGCTAAAAGAAAGCAAAAATGAAAGAGTAAAGGAAAAAGTTCAGACCTGTGCACAAACGGATCGAAGGGGAGAGCGGTTTCCAAAAACAAGAAAGAAAAAAAAAATGCAGGAGGCTGTTCTACATTGTCAGGGCGGAAAACTTGGGATGAGGGACAAGAGACAGAGGGCGACTGCTGGAGGATATGTGTGCATTTTGAACCCTGAGAGAGAAAAAGTGACCAGCTCTCACCATAATTTTCTCCTTTTGCTTTTTGCCAACAGACCACACCAGAGTCCGCTTTGTCCTCCCCCTACCAGTCACCCCTGTGGCTCCGGCTCGGAGACTTTTAAGAGCAGCAGAGCGGTGATGGTAACGGTGGCGGGGCAGTCTCACACCCAAGAGTGAAATATCAGCTATGAGCATACTCACACTGTGCTTATCTGTTAGCCAACACACATATACTCTCTGCCCGGCTGATTTGAACTATTAAACCAGGGAGTAATGAAAAAGACATTTAAAATAACGCTGTACAGCACAGGATTGATGTGCTGCAGAATGAGCTAAAAGAGTTCACACAAGGCTAAATGTGGTTCGTCACTGATAAAGAAACAAGGTGCGGTAGATTTAGGCCTGCTGGGGTGTGAGGAGCTTTTTGCGGAGAGGCCTTGAATGTGGCCCAATCTTCTTTTTTCCTTTTGGCTGGGTGTGTGTCTCCTGACTTCACCTGCTGTGGTCAACTGTATTAAGGCAGTGAGTGGTTCCATGGCAAATTTCACTAACAGCTACTATTATGGGGAGAGAGTAAGTAAGGCCCACAGGATATCAGTTGGAGAGAAAAGGTGGTGGGATCAGACAAATTTCTTTTAAGAAGAAAAAAAAAATAAAAATTGGGGCTGCGGGGGAAAGAGGGAACTCTTGATCTCTGAAATGTTTCAGTACAACATGTAGAACACAGACAGCATATCCATTAAAATAAAACAGATCGGTTTTCATAACAGTGCACTGATGAACTGAAAAAAATATATATATATAATCATCATCATCATCATCAACAACAGCAAAAAAAAAAATTTTAAGATTACTATTATGCTCATAATCCAAACTATGGGGGTTATTTATTAAAAATATATACTCATCACATGACAGAGGAGCCTAACATCTCAGGACAGACGCGCTCCACGTCTGTCATAGACTCTGAGGGGGGAAACTGTACATCACTGGAAACTGACCACGACAAACATGGCAACTCGGGTTGGAAACACTCGGTGGGGTCTGGTAGGAGGGAGTGGGGGGGGGGGCAATAGTATTTCCCCTTAAAAATGACCTCACATGCACTATAGATAGAGCAGCTTGACGAAGGGGGATTAAATGAATAACAAAACAGCACCTACTACTACTGTTCTAGTAAAAGAAAACTAGCAGATCACAACGATCGCCTTTTGTTTTGTTTTTTTCCTCCTTTTTTTCCTCTCATTTTTCCATCAGCCAGTAAGATTGGGACTGAAACACATCGACTACAGTCTGAATCTGTGCCGAATTCTTACACTATGAGGAAATAAAAAGGTAAAGGCAAACAGATACGCATTGGATTTAATGCCTGAGTATTCATTGATCTTATCGAACCTACAAAGATATTGTCAAATTATTTTATGGGGCTTTTTTTTGTTTTTAAATTGTATCATTACTGCTACCATTTTACAACCCTTCTAGTAAAGAATAGTAAAGATGCATCTAGAAAATCTGTACAAAAAAATAAAAGGGTATGCACGGTACATTCAATATCTGTTACTGAGGTACTAGAAGTGGTGTTCCCATGACACCAGGGCAACAGCGTTTAAGAGTTACTCCTAGGGGCTATTCCTTTGGAACGACAACAGCTTGTTATAAGGGTGAGGGAACATACAAACACACACTCGCACGCAAACCCACACTATCACGCGCACACACACACGCATGCCACGGTCATTAATGAGCCAGCATGCAAGAACACCATCCCATTTGCTCCTACGGAGAATCTAATCTCTATCGTCCCCTCGCACTTTGAAGGAATTGATGGATTCATGAGCAGATGTATAGGGTTGGAGCATCACAGTGGGAGAATAGTGGAGGGTGGGTGACAGAGTGGGTGTGTTGGTGGTTGTGGCGCGAGCTTAACAATAAGGCGGTAATCTATCCCTGGTCACCCCTCCTGTGGTTTGAACGTCGGCAGTGTGTCATCGTGTTCTTCGTCACTAAAGGTTACCTGTAACTGTGACTGAGAGAAGCTGCAGGCAGCTTCCTCTGCTCTGAGCAGCCAGACAGCGCCCTCTGCTGAAATGCTGCTGGGTTTCCAGCTGGGAAGGAAATGAAAAACAGAAAAGCTGCTGCAATCGAGTCCCTGTGGGCACCAGGTGCACAGGACCTCACACGCTCACTCGCACACTCAAACGCACACAAACGCACATCACTCAAGACTGCTGGCAAGAGATAGAAATTCATACCAGGACATGCAGGTACATCTCTGATATGACGCTCAGAGCTTTTATCTCATGACATCACAATCCAAAAGGGGAAAAGCGTGTGTAAATACAGGGATGACTGTCCTAAAACTAGACAATCGCAGCAGTGAAAGTTGACAAAGAATAATGGGTTTAATACTCACAGACGAGTTTAGCAGATAAAAAACACACTGTGACAGTCAGAGAGCTCCACACTGACAGCATTATGGATCCCTCTGCTGAGCAAACTGATGACAGCGCAGAGGAGAGACAAGGGCCAAAGTGGGCTAAAGGGTTAGCTAGATACTTGGCAGGGAGAAGAGGATGTACTGTTTGTGATTCTGTCCTGTTTTCTTCTTTTACTTCAGTACAAACTTCACCCCCCATCATGAGAAAGATGGAAAGGGTAAGAAAAAGAAAAGAGGAAGAGAGCAGTAACATGAGCCATTAATGTACAAAAGTGGGGCTTCAACCATTCTGTGTCTGTGCCTCTAGTGGTCAGAGGACTGCAGGAGGCAGACTGTAAAGCCTCGTGTCAGAAATGCTTTTTTTCTTGTTTTCTTCTTTTTTAAACAAACAAACATTAACATCTAGAACCAGAGCAGATCAACTTTTCATTAAAACAACAACCAACTAAGGAAATAAACCAATCCAATCACTGAATCCTTGAGAACACAGTTATTGCTGACGTAGTGGGGGAGTGAAGGAGATGAGGGGATGGTGGGTGAGCAGGTGGATGATGGAGGCAAGGGTGTATTCTGGGTGGTGGTGGTTGGGGGGGTGGATTGTTGTGGTGTGGACAGGTCACTCCTGGGCTGGTTATGTGATCTGAGAAAAGACTGTAGAGCCACGTCAGGTCAAACTAGTGCTGCCGATGTACTGGAGGGTAGGGTTGTGTCTGATCCTGGGAGGCGGGGGTTGGTTTCCAGAGATGACGGAATGTGCTGACGGCGGTGGGGGGGGGCTATTGGTCGGAAGGGATGTCTCTGTCGGCTTCGGCCTTAGTAGGTTGCCCTGGGGATGGGGCGTGAGGGGGGTGGGAGACGGGGGCGATGCCATGTGCCAGGGTTCCTGGAACCAAACTTTCAACGCCTGCGGCAGCTCCTGGGAGACCGCCTGCTGCTGCAACGTTGATCAGCCCCGGAGGAAATCTGACACAGAGCCAAACAAAATCAGATCAGGTTAAATTCAACCTTATCACCAATGAGGCAATCTCGGTCAATTCTCCGCTCACCTGTAGGCGGCTCCATTTAGTTCTGGGTGAACAGTAGCGGCCTCAATGCCGGGCCACTGAGAGGCTGCCATCAGATACTCCTTATTAACACAGTTCTTCAGACTGTCGGGGATACGCCCTGCAGTAAACAAACCACAAAGTTTCGCTGTCAGATATGACCGACAACCTCCTTATTCAGCTACCGGATACATTTCTGGTTTAATGTTCTAGCAATATGAGTCAAAACAGTCTCAGCATGGCAACAGGGAACACGTTACTCCAATGAAGCCTGTGTATTCCAAACGCCTTCGATGCTTGTTTCCTGCGGGGGAACACAGCGGGTCTATGTGCCGCGCTGGAATGGTAGCGCTGTGCAGGGCGGCTGCTGTGTTCGCTTCGTATTACTCCTCACCCCCCACCCAATCCTGTGGCTTGTCATGTCTTTCACAAAGTGTGATGTGGACATTTATGTGCTTTTTGTGCAGAGGAGTTTTTTTGTTTCGTGTTCTCATGCTGTCCTACCATGGAAGCACAGCATGAGTAGAGGTCTCTTTTTTCCCTCTTGTACTTTCCCATTGTTGTGTATATTTCAGTGTTTTTCTGTAACGCTACCGATCTTCGACTTGTATCCCCATGTAATGTCTGTGTTGTGTCCCATTTCACTGCAGGGCAACCTGCATGTCGCGAATAAAGCTTTGATTGATTGATTCATCATACATGCTCTGTGTTTGGTGGTAGGCATTTCATTTTAAATTTTTATGTGTGGAAATATAATCAAGAATTTAAAAATTTGTGTTTTTGGAATTTTACGCTTTAACCTCTTCTCCCATAAAGACAATATTTGAGGACATCCCATGGACCCTTAATGAGTTTTGAGACCTCGGTAATAAAAACTTGGTTTTATGATCATTAGAAGAGTTTCTAGGTTTTTCCAAGGGTAGTGCTAGTAAAGTGTAAAGGCAGAGTTCCCCTTCACTAACATCTGATCCAAACTGAGTAACTTTGTCCTGAAAGCCGGTCTGAAATATGACAGTAACTGCTCAGTTCAAAAAAGAGAAACAAGGGGTACTCCTGGTAGCACTCTAAAACTCTATCACGCATCTTAAGAAAATCCAGAATTAGTCAGACTCCAGCTCTGATCCACTAATTCTGCACTTGTCCTAACCACAAAAAACCTGTATGCATGCTTAGAGATACAAACACTGGGCGATTCACAGAACCCAAACTGTCATTAGAAAAGTGATAGTTGCCAAAAAGTGAGGAGTGTCACATGATAATGCGTTCACTGCAGCGAAAGAAATGGCTTGATCTCATGAGATGAGTGTACACGTCTTACCAGTGATGGCCCGGCGCACCTCTCTGGCTGCCTCTTCACGAGCCTCGACAGATGCCTGCTCACTGTACCAAGATGTGTGCGGGGTACAGATCAGGTTGGGGGCATCCTTCAGAGGGCCTGTTGAAAAACTGGAGAAGAAAGTACAGGCTGATACAGAGAGAGCACTGAGGGTTTGCACCACACTTATGTATGAATGTAGCGGGCCAGTTAGAGCCCAATTCACTAGGGTTACCTGAAGGGTTCTGTCTCATGGACGTCCAGGGCGGCACCTCGTATCCGGCCTTCCTTTAGGGCCTGAGCCAGTGCTTTCTCATCCACCAGACCGCCTCTAGATGTGTTCACCAGGAAGGCTCCTTGGCGCATCTGTGTCATTAACAATATCATTCAACAATGTGGATGAGAGCTTGCGAGGAAAGGCTAAGAATTTCAATTTCCAGCGAAATGCAGTACAAACTGAAACAAATGAGCACTATTAAACTCTGATTAACACACACAGTCACACAATTACAAGGTTTGGCTCAGGAAAAGCTGCAAATGTTTGAAATGTCTGGCACATAGAAATTGTCACTCTCATTTAAAGTCCTGTCGATTATTTACTTAGCTGATGCTAGATAATGATTATGTTGAATTAATCCCACCAAAAAACTACAATTAATGCATTCAAAGACCCCTGCAGAAAAATATTTTTCATCCTCACAAAGAGCAATAAGGCAGAATTAGGCAGGAACGAGTCCTCAGATGTTACTGAAGTCATTTTGATAATAAACTTCTAATCATATGGATGTGACAAATACATCTAAAATTAATAACCTAACTGAACCAAATTATCAGCTGATGCAAGATAATATTTAGAGTAGTACGGCAGAATGCAGTCGTATCTAATCTCATCTAAAATAAACAACGCAAGCTACTCACAGGGTTTAAACAGATAGCAGAGGTATGTTGTCACTAGACAATCTATTCTAAACAAAACATAGCTGAGGTGGAAGTAATGCTACCCTTTCTGAAACCAACATTGTTTTGGATATTTGGAGTATGTTCACACACCTGTTTGATGGTGAAGTCATTAATGAGATGGTGGTTGTGCTCATTGAGGCTGCAGTGCAGGGACACACAGTCAGAGTGGATTAGCAAGTCCTGCAGAGTGGCCATTCTCTGCAGGCCGAGTGAGCGCTCCACGCCATCGGGCAGGTAAGGGTCATAAAAGATCACGCCAAAACCAAAGGCCTTTGCCCGCAGAGCTACTGCTTGACCAACACGTCCTGGAAGGAGGAAGGGGAGGTTAGGGGTATAAGAAGCCATTAGTGGTGCACAGGCTTATTTTAAAATTCGTCACATTTCCTTACTTTGATGCCACCCCTCACTACGCTTTTTACTCACCTAGACCAATAATGCCCAGCGTTTCCCCCCGGATACGAGCGGCGCCACCAGCCACCTCTCTGATCTGCTCCACGCTAGAAGCACGGGTCCCCTCCCTTAGAGCTTGGTGCATCCAGGTTACTCGCCTGTACAGGTTGAGAATCAGACATAGCGAAGTGTCCGCTGTCTCTTCCACTGAGGCTGCTGGCACGTTACAGACAGCGATGCCTAAATAACAGGTAGAAAAGAAGAAAGAAACACTAACTAAACCGTTCTGTTTTACTGTGTGTCACAGTATGGCTGTACAAGTCTCTGAAAATACAGTACAAATTTGATCCTCTCACCCAGCTCAGCGGCTGCTTTGACATCAACGTTGTCGAAGCCGGAGCCGATCCTGACAATTACTCGTAGGCCTTTAAACTTTTCCAAGTCATCTCTGGATAGAGTGATAGTGTGGTACAGCAGAGCGGCCACTGCCTCGTTTAGCACCTGTTGGAGACAGATGGAAATTTTAACACCTCGGTGTTCATCTCAGTGGACTGCACTTATCATTCTGTTACAAGGCTGCAGTGTTGTGCACAGATTTCGATTCCACTTGTGAAGGAGGTGCATGCATGCTCTCTTAAATAAATCATCAAATAATACAGCTGCTTCTTTACAAATCTATTGCTAAGTGCATTATGATAAATGAATAATGAAGTGAGGAAATAAAGAAAGAAATAATAAACTAAACTAATCAACTGCATTCATCTCCACTGTCTTGGGCTGCAGCTAGCGGTGCTAATCCTGAGTGACTTCACGTTGTTTGTACATGAAACACTTTTCCATCTGCTGCAGGTTCTGTTAAGAGCAATTCTCCAGCTCATAATGGAGTTTCAAAGCAAAGCAAGGACTAACAATCTCCAGCTGCAGCCCAGGATGGTGTAGATGGAATCTTTCCAACCATGGGACAGATCCTCTCTTAGGAAGCAGGTGAATGATAGTGAGGACCGCTACAATAGCATCCTGGCCAGCAAGGCAGCCAGCAAGAAAAACATGAGACAGGAAGGTCAGAGATAGTTAGTAACTGAGCCTTCTAAGTAAGGAAAAAAAGAAGTGAGAGGGTTCTCTCTGAGAGACTATGTAACATAACATAACATAAAATGTGCTTGTTAATATGTCTGAGCCATCTGTCACAGCCAAATCTGTGTGGGGGGGAATTTTTTTCTCCGCAGGTTTCTTTTGTGTAGACAGCTTAGACGCTGTCTGAAGTTTACAGCTCTAGGAAAAGGGAATGCAGCCTTTTTTGACATTTAGAAGGTTTTAGAAGAATGTTTCATGTGACATCAGAATGTCGTGCCTTTTTAACGTGTGTGCTTGTGTCTCCTCTACCTTTTCATGAATCTCTTGTGTAGACTGGGCATCACAGAAAGCCACTGTGGCCACATCTTTCAGGATGGGCATCTCCACAGTGCAGTCACGCCCGTCCAGCAGGGCCACCAGAGGCCGAGGGTGCATTGGCCCATTCAGGATTGGGGGTCGGATACCTGAGTCCGCCGGGGAGAAAAGGGACAAATGTGCATCAAATCAATCTGAAGCAAGAACCAGGTAAAAGTATCAAATTGCCACAGACGCATGTGAGCACTTGTTTTCAAACAGATTTTGTTACACAGCCTTTCTGCTTTTTTGCCCCCTTTCAAATGTAGCTTCCACATGACGTTTGACGTAAAGAGCTACCAGCTACTTGCATTTCAGAACCAGTAAATTTCAGCTGAAGGTTTGTGACTCAACAGTCTGCATTTCCCATGTCTGGACTATCCGACGTGATACAAGTCATCATACCCTCACAAAAAAAACCCTGCGCACATGGCTAAACAGAGCTAGACAATAATAACTCAAGACTTTTATGACTGTATTTTTCCAACACTTACACCAGAACCTTAAGGGAACTATCAAAATGGTGTGTTTAAGTGTGTGTGTGTTTATACCAAGTGTTTTAAGGTTACAAAAGCAATGTGTAACCATATCTATGATGGGGCATGGACAGTGTCCAGCCATCTGGCCTAGTTGGCATTGAACTCCAGCTCTGTTTAGGATGGCATGTAACCATTATACACCGTCAAGACTTCACAGATCCATCGCATCCTGTTCAAATCTACTACTCATAAAGGGGAAGCTCGGACACTGGTTAATGAAAGAGAGGCTTTTAGTTAAGTGTTAATTCTGGGAACTTGGCCTGCCTACTGTATGAGCAGACGGGTGGGGGTAGGGACAACGGGGGTGAGGTGATGGGTGTATGATGACTGGGGGAGGGGCGGAGAAAACTGTGGGGTCTCTGGGAGGAGGTTGTGGGGATTGGAGAGGAGGGGGGGCCTGAGTCATGACCTAAATTCTCCCGTCTGGAAGAGTCCCTACTTCTTATTTTTCCTGTTGTACCCTTTTATTTCCCCAATCGCACACTCACAAACACCTCAGCAGCAAACATCTGCACAACTGGCTCATGTGCACTACGGTCAATATTGCACGATTACCACAAATCAGAGGGATCAATAGGGATGCCGCGAGAACCGATATGGTAGCTAAGAAAAACAGGAAGTACTTTGCATTCAAAGGTGGGCAAGCAAGGGATGATAAGTGCAACATGCCCCCTGCAAATTAAATGATATTTTTTAGAGAAAGGGAGGAAATACTTCCAGTTGAGCAAAGCACCTGAAAGACCAGCATCCAGATCGGTTCACGGAATTCAAGTTGAGTGGGTTTCACTTCATAGTATCAGCAAACAAAGTATGGTCCTTCTTAGGTTATCCTGAAATACATGTTAGCGTTTTGTTTGAGACAGCTGGCACTGCTGTTGTGAAATTAACTTTGTTTTATAGGCTGAAATGTTTGCAGTGGCTAACACTAAATGCTTATGCCAACATAATGTAACTGTAACATTAGTAAGCCACTCAGCAAACACCCTAACACTTCAGTCTGTGTCTTCTCAAAAAAGAAATTATAATATTAACATCTTAAATAAATGATCTGCCATGTCAGTGTTTTAACACAACATTTAAGTATGTTGGATAATATTTTTGTTTTTGGTATATAAAAATCATATTTTTACTGGTACAGACTATTCAATTAAATTATAAACGCCACATCTTTGCAAAAACAGCTGTGTTTTACTCTTGCTCACTGTAGTTTTCTCACATGAAATCTGGATAAATCTTTCAGGAGAATCAGATCCAACACTTATTTCTCAGGACTAGAAGACAACAGGAGACTGTCCACTTGGGTAGAGCCTGCTGGAGGCAGGACACATGACGCCCACTCACTCGCTGTGGATTCTCTAGACAATTACCTGTGCTACTCACACATTTTGCTGCATTTAAGCCAGCTAAAGTCCACTTAACACCTGGATTGAGAGCTGGATAACCTGCCCAAATAATCTCTAGGGACGCGTGAAGGCGACTTTAACGTCTTCAGGCTTGGACTGACTCCACACATGCGCCAGCACTCACTATCTCAGTCCTGTTGGGTGACAGGTGTGTGTGCGCCTGCCCCCATGGTGGGGAGTGTGACAAGCAGGAACATTTACTTGGACAGAAGACAGGACGTAATGGTGAGACTGTTGAGGAAGAAAAGGCGCTGGTAGCTGGAAGGGGAGTGGAAAACAAATATTTGCAAAAGCTTCCTCTGACGCCTGAGCATATCTCAATTCATGAATAAAATGCACACAAGCTGAGGGGAAAAAGGTATTTATAAAGCCTGGTACACTCAATCTGATGCACACCATTTAGCAGTGTGATTCACATTTGCGGCAGAAGGTTCAAGAATGCCGTCATGCTGACTGCAAACAGGCTAGAGAAAAAAAAAGACAAAAAACAAAGACTCTTACTATGCAGAAAAACCCAAATGGGTGCGTCACAAAGACTCCCTGTGTAAAAATATATATCCAAGTAGGCCTACACAGAGAGCAATCTGAGCAAAGGACATCGGTATACCCGAGGCCTACAACCAGCGAGCATGGCCGCACACACAATGCAATTCATTCAGTGATTCATTCATTCTCCCTCCCTCTCCCTTTCTTTCCCCTTACTCCCTCCTCCTCCTCCCCCCCCCCCCCCCCCCCCCCCCCCCCTTCTGTAGTTAGAGTAAGAGGTGAGGGGGGAGGGGCAGCAAGCGATGATAATGCAGCAAGCAGCAGTACTCCACCCAGACACAGTGAGACCCACATACACACACATGCGATTATTCAGTTCCTTCTTACGCCTGCGACACCAACACACACTAAAGACAAAAAAGGAAAAAAAAGAAAAAAGGGAAACTGCACACACATAGCCGGCACCACACCCAGAGCCTAGATCCCTTCCCCCCTTCCACAGTTCACAAATTTCAAAAACACATGCCGATATAGAAAACACATGAGCACCGGGGCTAACCTTGCATTATGAAGTCTGTCAGCCTGTCTTCCTCTCTCTCTACCCTCGCCTTGCTCTCCCTCTATTGCTCGTTTTTTTTTTCCTCCCTCTCTCTCTGTTAGCCTGCTCTTGGCTGACTGGATCCCAGCTGTCATCCACGCCCAGCCCCTCCCCCACAGCCTGCCTCCAATCACCGGGCGACTCTATTGAGAGCCAGCCAACCAGCACTAACCTCATTAGCATAGCCCAAGCTGAGGCTGAGAGCGGTTTGGGGGGCTGTTGTCGTTTTTTAAAGAGACAGCTGGCCCGTTTCCCTGTAGCTGCGGCCACGACCCTTCACCTTGTCCTCTCTCCCTTTCACCCGTCTCCTGAGACTCTTCCAGACGCTTCCCTCCATTTTAGCGCACCGTTATGTCTCATCACTATCATCAACTCTCCACTCTCCAACCACTGTATCTCTAGAAATCTGCAGTGCAACATCTTCAAATGCATTTTGCTAAAAAGATCCAAGTTCACCTATTTTTCTCACCTAAAAATCGAAACAATTAATTTCACCGTGACTGTGTGCATCTGCCCATTCTGATGGATATTTCAAATTCTTTACTACTGTCCGCCTTCGGAGTTAAAACCCTTGTGAGTTGTGGCTTAAAAGGTGGTTTTCTCATGAGGACACAGCATGTAGTAAATCTCTTCTGCAACCAAGTATTAAAGATTATTTCATAAGAAACTATCATTATGTGCAATGGCACAGGAACATTACAAACAAATGTTATTATACTTCCTCAAAACACTTATATATATATATTTTTTTTTTGAGAATCCTACATATATATGACTGTAATGCTTATAGTCTCACCCTCACAAATGCGGTCGAGTCTCTGCCGCTTGATTTGTTTGTGCTTGTCCATCAGAGCCATACACCAAGCAGTCTATACCCAGGGACACAGAAAGAACAGATCCAAGTGGTGGCAGGGTCCCTTTAATGACGTCCACGTATTTTCACCTGCGTACAAGAATCCAGCCAAAAATGAAAAGATGAAAAAAATTGAAATTTTAAATGCATCCTTATGTTGACACCTGCATTAAACCCAACTTGCAAATGAAAAGTAATGAGGATTTTAGAATTCAAAAAAAGAGTCACTTTCTTTTTAAACACATAGAATTTGGAGTATTAGAAGTTAGCCATAATCAAACTTGCCAGGAATGAAAACACTCTCAAGTGAAACTTTTTTTTCACAAGATCAAGTGATAACTAAAGCTAAAAAGTTACAGGACTACGGTTTTGGGGGCGTTGGGGGAAATATACTGTATATTTACCCCCAGAAACTTATTATAAGGATTTATTAGTACAGCTGCAGGGTTTAGACAGACACTCACCTGGAGAATAGCGTCTGTTGCACCAGTCAGCTTCACAACTTAGTTTACACTGTAAACAAAGCAGAGATAAAATTACTTTAGGTGATAATAATGCGAAACAGTGACGCTGCAGGTGGCTCATTAAAATAATAAAAATAATAATAATAACTGAATAAAACTCGACACTTATAACATCGCATGCACAGCAATTAAAATGATATGGCCATCATCTAGTGGCAAAAGTATTTTGAGAGAAGTAACTTGCGCTGTACAACTCGCATAGTTTTTTCCCCCCCTTCTTTTTCACAGTTACACTCGTTCGTGTTCCCCAACTTTCTCCTTAACTTTACTACAACAACCTAGGCACACAGTACGAATAAACAGTACGAAAGGACACTCTTGATAACTTTTTGGTTATAATATCCCCAACGGTTAGCTCCCAAATTACCGTTAATGAACTAGTTAGCTTACAGTGCTAGCTCACTCGTTTCTACTCTATCCAGAAACACCGGAACGCTTACAACGAAGGATAACATTCATCCGTTAAATGCAAACGTTACATTTATTGACTCATATACGCAGATGACATTCACTAAAGTCCACTCCGAGTTAGTTCAGCTAGCATTAACTTTTGAATCGCAATCCGAGCTATCGCTAACTAAACACATAGCACAGCAGCTAGCTGCGCGACGGTGGCTAGCTAACCCAAACACAAACACTTGAGGACTCTCTAACATTTTAGTGGCAAGTTCAAACTCCCGCCAACTTTCGAGTACACGTTGTTTTTGATGTTATTTACTTCTCATTAACTCGTGAATAGTGTTGCTACAACCCACGTCCACAATTACATGAGGCGTTTGAAGCGTTGCTAACGTTAGCTAGCTATCGCCGATAACTAGCGTGCAGCTGAGTGTGTGGGAGATGAGAACGGAGGGGGAGCCCATTTCGTCCGATCTGTTATCAGCGAAGAGCGCTACAATGTGAAATATCTGACCCAGAAGCTTTAAAATCATTAATTCTTCGGGGAAGGAACAATCGCCCGTATGCTTGATTTGAACCACATCTACTTTGTGAACTAAAAAGCGAATCTTGTGAGGAGAAATGATAATTATTTACCCCGAATAAACTCTTTGAGGAGTGCTCAGACAGTGTGCGTGCGTCGGCGGTGTTCCCTCTCTCCCGATCGCCATGAAATTAGACAAAGAGGAAGTGGCTTGTCGATGTGGGGGTCAGACAGTGTGCGAGAAAGCATCCTTGGACTGGAAGGAGCGCCCTCACCTTTCAAGGCGGAACGACAAAGACGCGCAAACTCTAGTGCAACAAGTCTGCAGGCAGCTATCAAAACTTTCTGCTTAAACTTTAACTTCGTGTGCAGCGTTCTTACACATACACCCGCAGACCCGATTCTGCTCAATTTGTAATTCGGTTACAGCTAGCTACAATATAGTTTACAAGAAAAACATATTTTCTCCCCGAGCGCGAAATGTAGGTGTATGTGTGTCAATATCTATGTTAACTAACCCAAACTGGACTATACAGTATATCCATACAGCACGACTATTATACTGAGATCAGCCACTAGGTGTCACAATAATCCAATTATACTGCCCCCTGACTTCCTTTATGTTGGGTCCAAGCATGAAACAACATTCATATTCATTTAAGAAGAAGAAAAGAAGGACAAGACACTTTTTGGGAAAAAAAAAATAATTCTATTAAATTTATTTGTACATAAATTGTGCAACAAGTATATTTCCAGCCAAAGAAATCATTTCTTAAAAGCCTCACTCTTTCATTACATACACTCTCAGAAATGGCTGGACGCATGTACTCACTCAAACCACTGTACAGCCCGTTACATTGTGCCCTGTGAAGACCAGCTGCAGCACTCATACGACTAACCACTGAAGTGTATGTGCCTCGAATTCAGAAATATCTCAATCAGTGCAAACAGGAGCCTGGCTGTGAAAAACAAGAGCACAGCACCAAGAACTCTGTATTTTAAGCTTAAGGCATGGTCAGTTTATGTAAGCCGTGTCACTGTTAACAAGATGTGTCAATGTCAAAGCAATTACACAAACTCCAAAAAGATAATGTAACGTAGAGGGTGTGTTATGTCGTTTGTGCCAGAAGAAAAGCAGAATATATCTGAAAAGTTAGAACAGCAGTAAAAGTGAAGAGGCTTTAGGCGAGATTTTTAAAAAGTGGAATGTATCCTGTTAAATACACAGAACAATTAAATATGGATACTTATTGTATGGGCTTTTTTTTTTTAATCTTACACACAGCAACATTTTAGCTACTGTTAAACAGCTCACATTTAATTCAGTCAGCCAAATACAAAAGTAGTCTACTCGAGTATCAGAAGCAGCACTGAACAACAATCGGTCTCATTCAGTTACTGGCATTTAGTGTGCGTCATGTAATAGAAACATTCTGTCAACCTCTGGCAATAAAGTTCTTTGATAAGGATATGTAAGGCCATCAAGATGCAAACCAGTGGCTTATGCTAATTAAGACTTGTCTTAATATCAAATATTAGTCAAAAATCTGTGCGCATTAAATCTTGCTTATTCGCTCATGCACATTTCCTTAAGGAGTGCTTCAACAGGCCAGCGCTAACAAAATTTGTGCAATTTTGAATAGTGAGCAAGCTCAAGTGTTATGATCGCAGCAATGTCATTGGATATTAGCCTCCCACATGGGGTCCTTGGATCTTACTTTTAAACTCTGGACATTTGTATAGAGAGGGCAGCAGGTTTCCACCAACTGCCAGAAGAGCACGTTATATTAAAAAGAAAATATAAGCCTGCAGGTGTGCTTAACATGGATATTGATGCAGTTATAACACTGAGAGCACCAAGGAGCGATCAGTTTTCTTCTATAAGGTTCAGATCCAATTCTGTACAGTCTCTTTCAAAAACAATCTTTTGTCCTCCATCTGCAGGCCTCCTTTCGTCTTCCTCTTCCTCACTTTCACTGAGCGGCCCGATGCTGGCTCTTCCCAGAAACTCTGCCGGAGAGAAAGCCGAACGTCGTTCCACCTGTGAGGTCACTGGAATCAAACCGCTACCTGGTCCATATGCAGGGCTCTCACGATTACCAATCTAAGCAGGAAAAACCATGTGCATCATGATCATCATGTTACTATTTTTATAGACAAAAATAATTACTGTCTTGCGTCCTTGCATCAAATAATAAGTGATAAAGATAAAGTGGTAAAACATAAGTGATGAGATAAAAGCAAAAAAAGAAAAAAAAAAAAGATCACAAAAGGTCTCAAAGAGAAGGCTACATTTAAGGAAAGTAGTGAACTTGATTGCTCACCAATACTATTAGCCTCCGTCACAGAGGTACTGTAACACTGATGGACCACCTTCCTTGCTCACCTGTGTCATCTTGCTGAAGTCGAGGACTGGCCTTGGGTAGGGCAGAACATCTGGGTCATGGCGCCTCTTTAAGCGAGGTTTGCGCATGTCACAGGGCTGCGAGTGGCAACGTGGCAAAGCAGGGTGGAGGCCACGCCTAGATGAGGATGGTGTGCTGCAGGCTGAAGTAGGAGACGGAGACAGCGCTGGGTGCTCCAAGTCAGAACGGCCATATTTCAAGGCTGAACCTGCACAGGGTTGGGGGGGCAAGGGCACCGTAGGAGATTTCTGAATGTGTACAGGGGAGAGGGAGAAGCGACGCTGCAGCACATAGTGTGAGGTCAGCGGGGCCGGTGAAGAAGAGCACGAAGAAGGCGTAGCAAAGGATGCAGAACACGCTCCTTTCAGTGTATCGCAGGGGTCCCATGGGAAGCCCCATGATATCAGGGAGTCAGACGATAGCGCTAAGCTAAAGAAGGTAGGACTAGCAGATGAGTGTACGGAGGAAGAGGGGAAGGAGGAACTAGGACCACAAAGTGGCAAAGAGCTGGCTCCAGAGCCTGAACTAGATGCTCCACCACTGTGACAGCTACGTTTCACCGGGGTCCAAACCCTTGATGCGCTGGGATGCCAGGTGGTGCGGCACTGAGACAGATCCTCTGGAACAGAGAGGGACCGGCAGTGGCGTTTTGGAGGTGGCGGAGGTGAACTTTGGAAAGCCTTGAAGGGACGTTCTGGTCTCTGGAGTGATTCTCCAGATTGAGAAGTAGGCCATAGTGAATCAAGTCCACAGGAGTCATCCAAAACACTGGCAACAGATGATGGATGTGTAGTTGAGGTGTAGCTCTCTGAAAATGCCAAAAAGATAAACATGAGGCCAATTTCCCCACTGGTCACAAATGTTGCTCTTAACTCACTAAACTTGCCTTGTGTTGTTTTATGAGCACTCCACGAGACAGTGGGACTGGAGCCCACTGTAGGTAATGACTGTAACAAACAGAATGACTTGTTTTCAAAATCAGAAGTGAGAAAACCAAGTCAATGAAACAAAATCAGTTTGAAGGACAAGACTTTGTTCCATCTAAACCATCCAACTCACCACATTCACACTGAATGAGAAGGCCTTGTGATAGGGTTCTTCTAAACTCTGCTTACGAAGTTGCTCTGTTATAAGAGTCACCATATTTGTAGCTATGATCCAGGGAGAGACATGGAGATGAGGAGATTTACCAAGGGCAGTGAAAGTGTCATTAGTCAGAGTTCTGGCGTGGTTTGTGGCGTCCCCTCTACACCTCAACCAGCCAGACTGACCAGGTTCCTCACTTTGCCACCAACATCTTTATGCAACCTAGAGAGGCAGGTGAGAATAGATTGAAACAAATTAAATAAGTGGTTAGACAAACTGCAGAGAAATCAAACTAGTTTAGTCATTGTGGGGCAGAGGGTACTTTCTAATGTTTGTTTTTCTGTTTGGGAAAGCCCACAGCAAGAGGAACAGAAAAGCTGCACACCAAACACTGACCACAGGTCTATGTGAACCAAGCTAGGGCTTATAAGTTGCCCTTTCATTCATGCAGGAGCAGAAGTTTATGCTCACTAAGGCGAGAATCACACATGGACATGAGGTGACCCTGAACAAAGCAGCACGTCACATTTCATCAAATTAAGTTCATATTGTCATTCCAAATGGGACTCCAAAGAAAATTTTATTTCGAAGGAGATGCAGACTACAACTCAAGTGAAAACTTTTGCAATCAAGTCAGTAGGGTCCAATAAACTGAAATGACGAAAGTTGTGAGTAGTAAAGAATGGAAGGGGGAGGGAAAGACTAAAAGGGAAAGGATGGAGGGGGAAGTGTGTGAAAAATGAATGGGACAGGGGCTGGAAGCATACCATAGTATCTTTGTAAAGGGGACAAGAATAGTAACCAGGTCTCAAGGACTTACTTGAGGCCAAACCAAATACAGTCCTGAACTACTCTACTTGTAATCAAAAACTTAAAAAAAAAAAAACATTAGTTACTGAATGCACAAACACCTGAAGATTCCCCTGCAGTAGCCCATGTATGGAATCCCAGGAAGTCTATTACTCAGTGCTGTACATCTTAAATTGAAAGTAAAAGACACAGAATGACCGTTGCATTAAAATGTAACATGACCCATTAGCCTTTGGACTTCTGTTTAAAAGAATGTGTAGAGCACATGTAGGGTGGAAAACCCCCCTTCAAAAAAACCCAAATATTAATCTAGCAACTTTGAGGCCCTTTGATGGCATTTATATTTCAGCTCACTTAAGAGACTTTCGTTCAATCACTGTTGAGTCAAGATGTGGCCTCCAGGGCCTTCCTCCTCCTTGTGGCAAACAGTGCAGTTGCTAGCCTAGTTCCACATGCCACAAGACATTATTTAAGGGGCACAAGACCAAGCTTTTTCCACTGTCATGTCCTGAACACAATCAAGAGCTGTCAAGTAACTAGTATAAAACTTTAGCATCACTTTTCAGTGTGACTAGCAAACATACATTCGATCAGCATAAGAAAAAAAAATATAGGACGCTGTCGAAATGACAAGAAACCTCTAGCACAGCCACCTTGATAAAATAGCTTTGACTTAAGGACACTGTATTTAAAAAAACAAAATTAAAAAAAAAATATTTAAAAAATGGAAAACAAGCGAGTTTAACACAGTGTTGCGCAGCTTACTCAAACCACGTTTCTGCCCATCAGCTAAAATTCATGAACTGCAATCCAGCTGTTGTTCGTTACAATGTAACACATTAAAATAATGCTAAACTTACAGGATCGATAGGATTCCGATTATAGCCGGTGAGCAAGGTGGTATGTGGTAAGCTAGCTCACGAACACGATGCAGCCAGTGAAGCACCAAGTTGTCAGCTAGCTCATAGGATAAATGCACTAAAATTACTAGCGTCAGTTTATTACAATAGATCTGATTGCGAC